AATGTTTTAGAGTATAAAAAATCTTACCAGAGTTATTAAAAAGCTTTTTTTTTTTACACTTCTTTATATTCTAGTGATTAGAAAACATTTTAATTAATTTTAATAAAAAATTTTTTACATTTATCTCAACAAAACTGATTTTAAATTTAACTTATAAAAAAAGCATATAGAATAGGATTTTTTGGTTTTATGAATGGTTTTTTAAAGTTTATTTGTTTAATGCAAATACATTTCTGCGCATGTCCAGCAGACTTCAGTTTAAACACCGTCACACTTTTATGTTAAGGATGATTAAATTTAACATGAGACTAACTTTTATAATCAGCATCACTATAACAGTTTACATTTCTTAGTTTAATTTATAATATTGCGCAACTAAATAGTATTTGTGTACTAATTAATTTCATCCCAAAAGCAGATAATTTCATTTACACACATGTACTGATTTCCGTACTTCAAATGCATTAGAATCACTTTCATTTAGTTTTACTTTTAAAATGCATGATTAGCATGATTGACTCATTAATTCGTACTCATGGTTTTTACTTGTGTCTATTACTATTGCTGTAACAACTCCATTTAACTAAGAAAGTTGTAAGTAAATGCTAATGCTACCATCTTTGTTAATGCAAAAGTATTAAGAATATTTGAAAAAAATTGATAAATATTTATAGCAGCCTCGACTTTTTTTTCGCAGCAGTTTAAACACTTTCAGAGACAATTTTAATTATTTTGTAATTATTTTTTTCTTTTCTTTTCTTTTTTTTTTTTTTTTTTTTTTTGGGGGGGGGAGGGGTGTTCATTAAAGATGCAATTTTTTAATCTTAAAAAGTCTTTACCATGAGCACACATTAAATACATTGTTTTACTATTTACATCGAAAGTTGTTTTAAAAGCATGGTTATAAAATGTAGAGTTCAATTTTTCTTTGCAGCTAGAACAAAATAAATAAAAATGTTTACTTGGTGACTTAATCTTTCTTTTTCTTGGGAAAACATTGTAAAAGATTTAAACTAGATTGTAGACATTTTTTGACTAATCACACTTGATAAAATTTCAATGTCAACAATAAATAACCAACAGTTTATATTTTACGGTGGTGTCTCAACTTTCTCATAATTATTTTGAAGATGCAGATAAATTTAATGTATTTAAAGGAAAGCACTTTTAACAAGAGCTTCTTATAAAGGTTGAATCATTTTGCAAATTTTAGGTATTCGTGAAATCCTCTTAATTTTTTACTTTTAGTAAATGATTTACTAATTAAAGTTTTTATTTTTATATAACTAAATTATAACGAAATAATTTTAAAACATGTTGCTACAACGAGTACATTAAAATTTATCGGTATACCAGTAAAATTATTCAGTATACCATTAAAGTTTATTGCTGAATGGGAATTTGAGTTATTGATATTGATAAAGTTATTGATATATTTAAATTTTCTTTTGAGTAGGTATACCCAGCTGATGGAAACATTAAAACGCGAGTATAAACGGTTTTTGTAAAAAATCTTTCTCATTGGAATTGTGCTTTCTTTTTTCTATAAACAAAAACACTTGCCGTAACTAAAAATATTAAAAGTTTTCTTTTTATGAAATAAAATCCGCTAAATGATAAATTGTTTTAAACTATAAATAAATATATCAAATAAAAATAAAACTGTATGGTTCAAATCAAAATGACTCACATTATTACTGTTTTGTTATACCAACAGCAGGCATGAAATACATTGAAATGATGTCATTAGCAATACATTGAATGATTTCATTACATTTTTAGCAGAAATGGGGTGACAGGTACAAATTCGTAAGCCAATTGCTATTGGTATATTAGTTTGATATATATTTTTTCACTATTTTTTTATATTTTACCCAACCAACATTGCATTTTTCTTATATTTTGTTTCCAAGTACTTATATGAACTTTTCGTTTCCTTAATACACTATACGCCATGGGATTTATTGTTAAAATTACTTAAAATAAACTTGACCACAGCCAGAATTTCGTTTTTCAAATCAACACTGTGTTATACATTTCAATATATATTCATTAAATTTAAGATAGAACAACAGTGATAAGTTATTAAAAAAAAAATTGAAATATGAATTTTTACAAAAACTTGAGAACAAGATAAATTCTAACGTCGTGATTAGATGCTATCTGTTGTCCTAGACAGACGGTATTAGTTTTTTTGAATAAAATTTTATATGCTATTTCTGACTAATCTTTAAAATATTTTTTTGTTTTATGCATAAAGCAAAATGTTCTATTGGAAGGAACCTAGTAACCCTAATCACAATTGAGAATACCTTGAAATTCAAAGTTTAATCTTGCAAACAATAGAAGCATATTTTAAGATTAAGTTTGTTTTGAAAAATGTATTAAAATTACTAAATGAATCTGTATGCTTTTTTTATAATTTTTTTTTTGTTTTTGTTTTTTATTGGTAAATTAAAAATATGTTTTATAGGATTCCTCTTTTTAGAATTTTTTTAAATTACAAGTGTGAAGTTGCTTGCCTAATAAGATTTTAAAATTATTATTCATTGTAAATCTCTCAACAGTAATATGTTACCATTATATTTATACCAACGTTGTGAGAAATGTTTTGTACAATTTTCGTTGCACAATCTCAAGAAACAATTATAGATTTTAAGCTATAAAGTTAAATAACATAGGTATTTTCTTTTGCATTTTATTTTTATTTTCCCAGTCTTTATGTATTTAAACTCTATGCAATTAAATTTTTATTGCATTTTGATATACAACTAAAATTTTTAATTTTTAATTGTATATATAATATGCAATAAAGTTGTAAAAATTTGAATTGTATATTAATATGCAATTATAATCTTTAAGCTTTAATTGTATATCAATGTATATAAGGTTTAAATTGTATATCGTATGTATATGCAATTAAAATTTAAAGTTTTAATTGTGTATCAATATGTAGTTAAAATCTTACGTTGTATATCAATATGCAATTAAATTCTTTAAGTTCTAATTGCATATCAATGTGCAAATAATACTTTAGGTTTTAATTGTATATTAAAAATTAATTTTTCAAACTAAAAATTGTTTTTTAACCATTTAATTATCCAGCTTACACGTTAGATAATAAAGACATAAAGTGAGCTCATATTAAAGATTAAATTATACTGTTCTTTAAACTAAACTTTCTCGGTTTTTCTTACTCTATACAAAATTTATACTTGTGCTAGTCTTTAAAATGTACTTTATTGAATAAAAATCTTAGATTATAATACCAATAATATAAATAGAATAAAATATTTACAATACTTAATGAAAATAGATTAATTGTTCTGATCCATAGTAATGTACCCCATTTCATGGAAGTTAGGAAAAAAACTTTTTTTTTTTTTGAGCCCAACACCAATTTTGCTTAATAATTACATTAAATATAAAAAATTTTTAAGCTGTATTTTTTTTTAATTTTCAAAATTTTTTTAAATTGTAGAACACGACTAAGGTAGACATAAAATTACAGTACACGCAAAATTAAAGTTTGTGTGTAACTTAACTACAGTACACGCAAAATAAAAGTGCACATAAAAATAAAGTAAACAACTTAGAAATATAATTAAAAACGTTTCTTTGTTACAGATAAATATTGCCTCAAATTTAAACATTCATTTTTTTAGCTTTAACCTAGCTAGCACACATAAATTGGACCAACATAAGTAAAATTGTCGCGATCGTCGGATCCAATGTCATGTGTTTAGCAATGACATTAATAAAAAGATTTATAACAATGCGATTAAAAACAGCTTAAACAGTTATATTGTTCCAACTTATGTAAAAACCTTGCAAAAGTTGATTGTTTTACGATTCAACGTTGTTACAATGTATATAACCCAATGTTGATTCAATGTATATGGATCAAAGTTGATCCAATGTATACAACCCAACATTAAATTAAATAAAATCTTCCATCAAATGGAACAAAAATGATTAATGTCAATATAATTGATGTATATTTGAAATTATATAATAGTCGTTTTTTTATTTTCGCTATAACAAATGTTTCCATTGTCTTTATGCTTTTTTCATTGTTTTTTATTCATTTCTGATGTTTTCAGAGTGCGCAAGGAACCATGGGTTTTTGTAGTTCCTAAGCCAATGCTTTAAGAAATGAACACTAAATTTAACTAAATAATTTCACTTTTAATTTTATCCTGTTGATGAATTATTTTATAAACCATAAAACTTGATTTAAATATTATGACGATTTGGAAACTATATAAAAAAAATTTAAACCACAATTAATATTTGTATATTGTACGAACACGCGAAAGCTTTAACTTTAATTATCATGTATAATCTTATATAAAGCATAATTTTATGTAATTTTTACTGTATAACTCCTTTGTAATATAAGTCGTATTTTGTGCTATAAGTTAACCAAACTGCATAATTTGAAAGAGTTTACATAAAAAAAAATTTAAAATTTTTTCACCATAAATTACGTCACGCTCAAGGGAGAGGGAGGGGGTTCGTATTTTTGTGAAGACTCATACGGGACTTCTTACAATATTGTGATGGGGGGATGGGGGTAAGGGGTCAAAAAAGGTCGAAAATTGCGTAACGTAATTTATGGATGTCCCTTAACCTTATATTTTTTTTACAAATAATATCTTAAAACAATAATTTTACTTTTGTGTGATGTGAAGTGCGAGGTACATAGGTTATATGATGTCTGTGGTGTATTTAATGTACAATTTATGTGGCGATTGATGCAAGTAGTATTTTATGCCTGAATTGTTTTATGCACGTAGCTATACAGATAAAGAGTTCAGTATTAGAACGCATTAAGTTTCTGACGAATTTATTATGAAACGTAATTTGTAACAAAAGTCGTATATGAAATGCATGGTGTGTCATGCACGCGATGTATGTCAGGCATGGTGTGTTATACGTGATGCAAGCAGTATTTGCTACAAGTAACGCATGTTGCTAGTTGTATGTATGGCATACAGCAAAGTACTTCTTCAATTTTATAACAAATTTTGATAATTTTCTTTTTCTTTACATCTACAAGCATTATAAAAAAAAATTTAAAATGTCAATGATAGCGACAAATCTCAAATCTCTGCTTAAAATCAAAGTTAAAGAACGGAGTGACTCATACACTGATCAGTACAACCGAATTTTTATGGTCAAGATAATGTTAGCTTGTTGCATCATTATGGGTATTAGCTGGTATAAAGATGCAATAAAATGTATTGTCACAAGTATGTAAATAAATTATTATTTTTTATATAGTTTTATTTATACAGTTTTTAATTGCATACATAATAGGTTGGGTCAAAAAATTTATAACTTAAAGTTAGGAAATTTAGTGGGGTGCAAAAAGTTGCTTTATTGTGAACAAATTCAGAAAGTATAAACTTTTATTGATTAAACAATGTCTTTTCACTTTTATTTGAAAAATTACTGGGATGCTAATAAAACAAAATAAATTTTTTAATACATATTTTGCTGAGTTTTATAAATAAAATTTCATAAAATAAACTAAAAAACTAAAAAGGCATCATAAAGATTACACTCTTACTTCTATACTAAAAAATCTAGGAAGAGAAGAATGTTAATTCTGTCTTTCTGTTTTATAGACACCCTAAGTTCACTTATACTGTAGTTTAATAAAGATATTGTAATCCTAGAAATTGCAATGGCACACGAATGAAATGCAGTTAAAATAAAAACATAAATTTTTGAGAATTTGATTTGGTAAATTTATAAATCTTTTTTTCAATTGTAGCTGTAATATATATACCAAGCTAATTTTATGTTTGTTAGGAGTTGAAAAAAAAAAAGTTTTTTTCAATAAAACGAAGAGATACTTTTTTAAAGCTTTTATATATTTATTTTTAAAAATTCCATAATAAGAACCAATCCCAGTGGGCATGCGTCGTCCAGGGGACGTAAGTCGGACGTCTGAACGTCCTCCAGACGACGCATGCCCACTGGGTTGGCTTTTAACTAAAAACAACAATTGGGATCGGTATTTGACAGCAGATTATATTTTATATACAATGCTGAAAAAAACATATCTAAAAATACTTTTTTCAGAAAGGTTGTCTTTATATTTGCACAACTTTGATGGTCTAGAATAAATTAAGTTTTAATATAATGAGAATCTTTGTGTATTTTATTACAGAGAAGAGATTTTTAAGTCTATTTAAATAGTTGATTGCTTTACATATGTGGTTTGCAAGCTTTGTGATTTTTAAGTTTTTTTTATGTCGATATTAGCCTACATTAAATGGGCCAATATTAGCCCATTTAATATGAGCCAATAGGCGTACAAAAGACGATTATGAATAAAACTGAACTAATTATACGTGGATTCTACGTGGATTATAATGAAGAATGAATCTTGATTTATATCATTCATTTATTACATAAGATACTTTGTTTTAGAGAGATTAATGCAATTTCTTCATGATGAAGTTTTATCAAATAGAATTTTATAAAATAAAAACTTTGTTTTTTCTTCCAACTTTATTTGATTGTTAATGATAAAAAGTTTTTTGCAACTTTAACAAAAGAATAATAGGTTTTTTTATGAGAAAAAAGTAATTATTTGATATCACGACTCCAAGATAATTTGTTTGTTATAAATTATGAATAAAGCGTTCAATTTCATTGTTTGTAGTTTCCGATAAAATATTAAAGGTGGATTTAAAATAAATTTTTATTTTCAGATAGAATATTGAAGATATTTTAGGCAATGCTAAAACATCTTCAATAATGTAATAAAATTTCCCAAAGTTGATTGTCTGCAGAATGCCGCATACAATATCTAGAGACCTTGGACTCTTGACTTGATGTACTTTGTTAAAAATAATTTTTTTACCCAATTAAATTCTCAACCTTTAATGACGCAATGCTTTAGCTTTAAAAATAAAATAATGTGATTAACAGTATCAAGAAGCTTAGAGAGACCAATAAATACTCCTTAAACCAGTTCACCTTTATCAAAAGACATGGGTTACGGGCCTTGATAAGAAAAACATGTATTATAAGTTTTATGAGCTGGATGGAACTTTTTAAATCTAAAAATAGATTTTAGTATAAAATTGTGTTTAAAGTTGCGCGATTATAAATTCTATTATATTTACCTTTTTTGAAAATAATTTTGAAAACACAGAATAAAGGTTGATAGGACAACCCAGTGGGCATACGTAGTCCGAGGGACATCCGTCGGACGTTTTACGGACGTATGGACGTCTATAAAACGTCCAATTACATATAAATACATAGTTATCTAACTCAAGCCGCGGTTGTGAGGCAAGTTTGTTTATTGGAAACCATATTGAGTACTGGCAAAAAACGCGAAAAAGATTTTATAAGATTTTTAAAGATTTGATTTTACTTTTGTTACTTAAAAAACGGTTATATCCTATTCTGCTTATTATTTTGCAAACCGATTTGTTAAAGCTAATGGGATGTCTTTTCAAAAAATCCTTTTAAAAAGTAGCAATCTCTATTAAAAATGAGGTGTGGTAACAAAAAAAGCTTCATTTATTCCAACAAAATGTAGTTATATATGTAGTGTCCACTTTGATAAAAAAGGATTACAGTTATGAAAATGCAAATAAACCTCGTTTAAAAGCTAATGTTGTTCCACCTATGTTTGATTTTCAGGCGAAAATACTTTTTAAAACACCTATCAAAAGGAAATATATTTCAAAGAATGTAACCAAAGCATTTGAAACTGTCGAGGACAAGAAGATATCTCTTTCTGTTATAGTATTTTGTTTTTGTATTGTATTTTTACTAATCTAGTAAAAATACTATAGAATCTTTCTTGTATAGTATTTTTACTAATGTAGATTTTACTATTGATAATCTAAATAATTAAGTTGATTACCCATCCAAAGTCAAACTTAAAAGAAAAAGAAAAACTCTACATTAAAACCTAAGAAAAAAAAATTAAAAATGAATACAATAACAGAAATTATTAAAAAACTTGAGAGTGACAAACTTATATCAGCTGATACAGCTCAACTGCTTGGTAACAGCTTTCCTGGTCTATTTAATAAAATATTAAAATCTGAACTAGTGAATAAATGCAAAGGTCCTAGAGGTCACAGGTATTCAGAAGAAGTAAATAAATTTGCTCAAACACATTATTTTTATTCACTATCTACAATTTTTTCAGATCATTATTTTCTTTGCCTTGTGTAAGTTCTCTAGCTAATTGTCATCATCTATTGATTGTGTAAGTTCTCTAGCTAATTGTCATCATCTATTGATTGTGTAAGTTCTCTAGCTAATTGTCATCATCTATTGATTGTGTAAGTTCTCTAGCTAATTGTCATCATCTATTGATTGTGTAAGTTCTCTAGCTAATTGTCATCATCTATTGATTGTGTAAGTTCTCTAGCTAATTGTCATCATCTATTGATTGTGTAAGTTCTCTAGCTAATTGTCATCATCTATTGATTGTGTAAGTTCTCTAGCTAATTGTCATCATCTATTGATTGTGTAAGTTCTCTAGCTAATTGTCATCATCTATTGATTGTGTAAGTTCTCTAGCTAATTGTCATCATCTATTGATTGTGTAAGTTCTCTAGCTAATTGTCATCATCTATTGATTGTGTAAGTTCTCTAGCTAATTGTCATCATCTATTGATTGTGTAAGTTCTCTAGCTAATTGTCATCATCTATTGATTGTGTAAGTTCTCTAGCTAATTGTCATCATCTATTGATTGTGTAAGTTCTCTAGCTAATTGTCATCATCTATTGATTGTGTAAGTTCTCTAGCTAATTGTCATCATCTATTGATTGTGTAAGTTCTCTAGCTAATTGTCATCATCTATTGATTGTGTAAGTTCTCTAGCTAATTGTCATCATCTATTGATTGTGTAAGTTCTCTAGCTAATTGTCATCATCTATTGATTGTGTAAGTTCTCTAGCTAATTGTCATCATCTATTGATTGTGTAAGTTCTCTAGCTAATTGTCATCATCTATTGATTGTGTAAGTTCTCTAGCTAATTGTCATCATCTATTGATTGTGTAAGTTCTCTAGCTAATTGTCATCATCTATTGATTGTGTAAGTTCTCTAGCTAATTGTCATCATCTATTGATTGTGTAAGTTCTCTAGCTAATTGTCATCATCTATTGATTGTGTAAGTTCTCTAGCTAATTGTCATCATCTATTGATTGTGTAAGTTCTCTAGCTAATTGTCATCATCTATTGATTGTGTAAGTTCTCTAGCTAATTGTCATCATCTATTGATTGTGTAAGTTCTCTAGCTAATTGTCATCATCTATTGATTGTGTAAGTTCTCTAGCTAATTGTCATCATCTATTGATTGTGTAAGTTCTCTAGCTAATTGTCATCATCTATTGATTGTGTAAGTTCTCTAGCTAATTGTCATCATCTATTGATTGTGTAAGTTCTCTAGCTAATTGTCATCATCTATTGATTGTGTAAGTTCTCTAGCTAATTGTCATCATCTATTGATTGTGTAAGTTCTCTAGCTAATTGTCATCATCTATTGATTGTGTAAGTTCTCTAGCTAATTGTCATCATCTATTGATTGTGTAAGTTCTCTAGCTAATTGTCATCATCTATTGATTGTGTAAGTTCTCTAGCTAATTGTCATCATCTATTGATTGTGTAAGTTCTCTAGCTAATTGTCATCATCTATTGATTGTGTAAGTTCTCTAGCTAATTGTCATCATCTATTGATTGTGTAAGTTCTCTAGCTAATTGTCATCATCTATTGATTGTGTAAGTTCTCTAGCTAATTGTCATCATCTATTGATTGTGTAAGTTCTCTAGCTAATTGTCATCATCTATTGATTGTGTAAGTTCTCTAGCTAATTGTCATCATCTATTGATTGTGTAAGTTCTCTAGCTAATTGTCATCATCTATTGATTGTGTAAGTTCTCTAGCTAATTGTCATCATCTATTGATTGTGTAAGTTCTCTAGCTAATTGTCATCATCTATTGATTGTGTAAGTTCTCTAGCTAATTGTCATCATCTATTGATTGTGTAAGTTCTCTAGCTAATTGTCATCATCTATTGATTGTGTAAGTTCTCTAGCTAATTGTCATCATCTATTGATTGTGTAAGTTCTCTAGCTAATTGTCATCATCTATTGATTGTGTAAGTTCTCTAGCTAATTGTCATCATCTATTGATTGTGTAAGTTCTCTAGCTAATTGTCATCATCTATTGATTGTGTAAGTTCTCTAGCTAATTGTCATCATCTATTGATTGTGTAAGTTCTCTAGCTAATTGTCATCATCTATTGATTGTGTAAGTTCTCTAGCTAATTGTCATCATCTATTGATTGTGTAAGTTCTCTAGCTAATTGTCATCATCTATTGATTGTTCCCTTGTGTAAGTTCTCTAGCTAATTGTCATCATCTATTGATTGTGTAAGTTCTCTAGCTAATTGTCATCATCTATTGATTGTGTAAGTTCTCTAGCTAATTGTCATCATCTATTGATTGTGTAAGTTCTCTAGCTAATTGTCATCATCTATTGATTGTTCCCTTGTGTAAGTTCTCTAGCTAATTGTCATCATCTATTGATTGTTCCCTTGTGTAAGTTCTCTAGTTAATTGTCATCATCTATTGATTGTTCCCTTGTGTAAGTTCTCTAGCTAATTGTCATCATCTATTGATTGTTCCCTTGTGTAAGTTCTCTAGCTAATTGTCATCATCTATTGATTGTTCGCTTGGGTTTTTTAAAGATATTTTTTCTCACTTAAAACAAAAGGGATTAAAAGATATTGAATATACAGATTGTGCACTAATCTTTGACTCAATGCGCATAAAGGCAGGTCTTATTTTTAATCCAAGTAATAGGAACTTTGAAGGCTTTTCAGATTATGGAAACAACATATCTGCTTTTGATCCAAGTAGCATAGCTACTGAGGCTCTTGTATTTATGCTTGTTGGACTTCAAGGTCATTAGGTATGTCCTATTGGTTATGTTCTAGGTGAAAAAATTTCAACAACAAACTTAATTTGCTTTTTAACTAAATTAGTTAATTTGTGTACTCAACATAATATAAACGTTCACAACATAACTTGTGATGGTGTTTTTTCCAATTTTAGTGCTATGAAAAATCTTGTTTGTTCGTTTGATGAAGTTGAAAATATGAAAACTTATTTTAATATCAAGTCTTATGATAATAATATATATTTTATAACTTTTATTTTATACCCATTTTATGTTTTATATTCTTTTCATATGCTAAAACTTGCACAAAATGCTTTATGTGATCTTGGATAATTTATTGATAGTCAAAATAGGTTTGTAAAGTGGGAGCACATTACGTTTCAACAATATTTGCAAGAGGATATTTGGATTAAAGTTTGCCAATAAGTTAGGCAGTAGCCATATTAATTTTGAGAGACATAAAATGAATTTTAAAATAACTGCTCAAACATTTAGTAATTCGGTAGAATTATATTCAAATAGATGCTATTGAATTTTTAATGCTATCAGGCCATCCGTTTTTTCATGATGTTCAAGGTACATTAGACCAAAGGTTAAAAAAAAACTCTATTTCTTGATAATAAAATAAATTGGTTTATTATTCTTGAAAAATCAATTCAATATCTTACCAACTTAACTGATAAACATGGGACTAAAATTCTTAAACATAGAAGAAAAACTTTTGCTATTGGTTTCATTGTCTCTGTAATAAGTATAAGTGATTTATCATTCAGTTTAATATCAAGATTGGAAAATTCCTTTAAATATGTGCTGATCTAAAATACATCTCAAGGTCATTTAGAACTGCTGTTTGCTCGTATTAGGGGCAAAAAAGTTTTAATAATAATCCAAATAATATTCAATTAAAATCAAATTTCAAAAAAATTCTTTTACGAAATTTTCTGATTGGTTCATCGCATGCAATTTGCCTCACTTTTGAAAAAAAATTCAGCTGGTTTAGTATTTTTGAAATTGAATTAAAAATGAAATGGAGTAAAACCAAAAAAATTGAAATGGAGCAATAAAATTTCATTTTAATAAAATTGAAATGGAACAATACCAGATGACCGATTCTAGAAACAGAATTTAAAGATTAAGATAAAAATATTGTTGCAGATTTATCAAACAGTCTTGAAGGGATTTCAACATCAATATACAAATACCCAGCAAACATTCAGTCTAAAAAAGATATCTTTTTGGCGTATAAATAACATCTAATACGGATAAAAGACGTATTAAAAACGTCTTTTTAAGGCCAAATGTTTGGTGGGCAAGCAATACTTGGTTAGATAGCTGGTTATATAATTAAGACTCTTAAAAAGAAAATAACTTGTTGCAAATGTGCTGAAGCACTTAACCAACTAAATAATCTTGTGTGTGATCATGACTACAATTGTTTTGCAAATCGTCTTGGTTGTCTTTCATAAATTTAAAAAATCTTGGTGGATTAAATATACCATCTATTAGTATTATTAAAATTATCGAAAAAAATGAGAAAATTTTTAGAAGTTTTGTTATAGGTATGAACTCAAAAATATTAACAATTTCTCGCCGAAAATTTAAAATCCTTCACAGTTAATAGGTATGTGTGTAAAAAGTTTAATTTGTTAAACATTACATTATTATATATTATTAAAAAGTGCATTAACTTAATATTGCAAGAATAAAAATGTCATAGAAATTGGATCATTCTACAACATGTTATGTGCATTTAAGTAACAAAAGTTGACAACAAGGTGACTAATTTTGAAATATTCCATTCGGTCAACGGCATTTTAATAGTTATAGCTTCACATAATAGCAATTGCGTTTGAAATTTTAGGATCACCTGAATTAACTTGACATGTTAAATGACAACAAAAATAAAGCCGATGATTATGTGATTAAAAGTGGGGTGTCTGCAATACCAATTTTTTAAAATGAAATTTGGTAGGTATTTAGAAAAAACAAATGAAAATTGAGAAAAATAGTTTAAAAAAAATATATCCATAACTTCGAAAAAATCTAATCCTTGTTCAGCTTTTTCGAACGATATAACAACTTTACGGTTTCTTGCCATGGCATTTAACTTAGTTTTAAAACAAAAAATTTATATCAACTACTTTAAATTTCCTATTATAAAAATAACGTTTAGATAAAAAAATTCACGTCAGCTTCTTTCAAAAAAAGACAACGCTAACTATACTGAAAAAAATTTATTGTATCTTTTTTAATCAATAAACCTAAATAGATCAGGCTTATTATTTTATGTTTATAATTTCTTTTAAAAAGTTCACTTATTTACGATATTTTGTCAGCATTCAATATGGCTTCCGCAAAAAAAAAGCCTCATTTCGTAACGGTTTTTTTACGGAGTTAGACATGTAATTACATATAATTGGAGACGTCTAGCAGACGTCCTTCGGACAACGCGTGCCCACTAGGTATAGTTTTAACAGTACAACAATCATCTTTTTTTAAAAGTGGATGAGCATTTTAAAACTTTAATTTATCTGAAATATTTTTATACGATTCAAAATGTTCAAATTTTAAGATAGTTATAAACAATAATACTATTCTCAAATAAAATAGATATTAAATAAAATAGCAGTATACATGTATCCGAAGAGCATTAAATAATCAAAATATACTTAATAAAAGATATATAGATTTATAATCAAAAATATATACTTATTAAAAAAAAAATAACAAAAACAACTATTTTCGTTACAAATATCTCTAAAGTCGTCATTGTCAAAAGTTTTCAAAGTATTTTGTAGATCTGCTTTTAAAAAGTTTCTTTTTATCCAAAAATTAACATTTAGATTTTTTTTTAAACAATCAGTTTTTTTAAATCTATATCTAATTATAATTTTTTTGAGAACCAGATTAACGCACTTATGAAAAACAACTAAGAATCAAGTTGTGGAGAGAAGAGGTATTGTTTTATCCAAAAAAAAGTTTACTTTTCTGAATTACTACATTAAGGAACCTCTTTTTGATCCAATTTTTTGACCAATCTTAATGCATAGGTGCATAGGTTTTAAAAGTTTAAGGCTTTTATTAACCGAATAATAGTGCAATTTTTTTTAAGTTATGGCAACTTTAAAAAGCACCGAATGTTTGAAATTTTCAAAATAATTAAATTTATGTTACGGACATTGTGGCAGAAAAATGTTTTGTATCTTAATAATGCAGTATTTTGTATTAAGCTTCTAGTGGTATGGGAGACAGTGGCTTTGTATCTCAAGCCTGTTGGATACAAGGTCTATATATATACAAAAACCTTATTGATAAAAAAAACGAAGTAGCTTACTTTGGTATTCCTAAAGACATGGACCTAGATGGCACCTTACAATCTGGAGAGTTGTGTAGTACTGCAGGAAAGTTAGGCACTAAAAATGAAAAATGTATGCCAATGGAAAAAAGATTTATTTTGCAGGTAAGAAAATTTTAGCCTTACCTGACCAAAGTGTACATTTTTTTATGTGTATTGCTATATATTACCATTATATATATATATATATATATATATATATATATATATATATATATATATATATATATATATATATATATATATATATATATATATATATATATATATATATATATATATATATATATATATATATATATATATATATATATATACTACCCACCCTGCTGTACAAACGTTTGATCTTCTAGCTTACTACTTTTTACATTTTTTTTTTTTTACATTTTTATTTTATTTACTCTTTTTCTAAAACAAATTTCAGTACCAATGGATGCCATTTTTAATTGGTGCTTTATCAGCTTTGTATTACATACCTTATTTGCTTCACGGAGCGGTCAATAGAGATATAAAAAGTTTGCTTGAGGTATTAAAAAGTGATAAACCCGATGCAGTCAAAGTTTGTCAAACTTATTTTAACAGACGTGCTAATCCGTATAAAAAGATGTTTTTAAGAAGTTTGCTCAATATTATTGTCAAGATTTTATACATAGTTGTCAATTTTATAACTCTTTTCGGTATTTATTAGTTTAATTTTTGTTTAGTTTAATATTTAAAAGATAACAAAAGTACAATTAATTTGAATTTTTTTTTTTTTTTTTTTGAGTATTGATTTGAGTATTTCATGTATTATTAATTTGAAAATTTCATTCATGAAAACTTCAGGTCTTGAAAATATACTTTAGGTCTTGAAAATATACTTTAGGTCTTAACAACGTGTTATTTGATAAGTTTAATTCATATGGTCAATCATTGATAAAATGGTCAACGCAGTATAGCTCTAACAATTATGACTATATGGGAACAGTAAACGACCCAACACCAGGTCATTTAATTTAAATGTTAAATGTTTATAAAAATATTTAAAACATAAAATGTGTTTTTATATTTTTTATTTTCTATTTATTTTTAATTTTTTTGTTGTTGTTAGGTTTTAAAATTAACAATTACTTAGTTAATACCCAATAATTGATTTTTGATATACTTTCTAACTAGGTAATCTTATTCTTCCACCTTTTGGATACTGCGAGTTATATGAATCATCAAAAGATATTAAGCATAGCACAGCTAATTCATATAAGTTTATTTGCGAGTTATCGCAAAACATCCTCTACCAATACTGCTTCATGATTTTGTGGTTTAGTATTGTTCTTGGAATAATTGTCTCGTTTGTTGGATTACTTATATTGATTGTGCGTTATGTAACGGGGATGTTTAAAACGCAGTAAGTTAGTTATTTATTTATTTAATGTTGTTTACACTATTTTAAGAGAGAGTCTGTAAAAATATGTTTTTAGTCAAAGGGAAAGTTTTTTATATATTTGTTTTTATATTTGTTTTTTTTATATTTTTTTTTTTATATATATATTTTTTTTTTATATTTGTTTTTTTTTTTTTATATTTGTTTTTTATATTTGTTTCTTTTTTATATTTTATTTTCTTTCTGAAAACTTTTGTTATTAAAAAAAAATATTTATAGGGGAGAGTTGCCTTAATTGAAACACTTAAGGAATAAATATTTATTAACCAAAGATGGCTTAACTATGAAAACATTTATAATTTGATTAATATAAACAGACAAAGCCTACTATACTTTTAACCATAATTTGACTTAATTGATTGCACTTTTATTAGATATAAATTTGCTTTTGCAAAGAAACCATTTTGTTCCTATCAAGGCAACTGGCTCCTTAACTTGAAACACTTAGATTCCATTATCAGAACAGGTTGTTTCTTTTTAATAATCAGAACAGGTTGTTTCTTTTTAATAATCAGAACAGGTTGTTTCTTTTAATAATCAGAACAGGTTGTTTCTTTTTAATAATCAGAACAGGTTGTTTCTTTTTAAAAGTATGATAAAAAATCATTTAAAATCAACAAAAATTGATTTAAAATGATTTTTATACAGTGAAAATTTAAACAGCTCATTTAAAACTTATTATAGGATTAAAATTACCCTGGCAAATAAAATTCTACAAACAAAAAATTGTATAAAAGCTTCAACTGTTATTGCGTTCTCCTAATTTATTGATTAAAAATCACTAAATAAAGTATTATTTTTAAGGTTTATGGTTGTGTTACTAAGTATTTTTAAATTGCGCACAATATTAGATCACCGAATAAAAAAGACGCAAATAAGCTATAATTCAATGTTGCACGTGCATCTTTTTAGGGATAACTTTCAAAATCTCAAAAAAATATGACGTAGAAAATATGACGTTTTACTAGAAAAATGAAAAGTATAGCCATAATTTTTTTTTTTTTAAATAAATGCAAGTGTTCCAATTAAGGTGCGTTCCAATTCTCCCCTATCAACCATTATTTCTTTTATTTTAGTTATTTGTTTATGTCCAATTACGTAAATAAACTACTTTAACAAATTAAAGTTTGAAAAATATTAAATTAATTTTTGGAATAGATTATTAGTGAAAAATGTTACTATTTGTGAAAGAGCAACAGTTTTTGAAGAGGACTTTGTACACAGGTGTAAAATATTGCTTATTTGTGAAAAAGATTGTTATTTCTAACGATGTGGATATTATACACGTTATTATATGACAAGGTTTTGTAAAGATTTTTTTATTTATAAAGTGGATGAAAGTTGTAAAAAAAGGGTTCTGTTGTAAAACGAACCCTCTTATAACTTTTTTGTTAAACGGTTTTTTAGTTTTTTGAAAACGATTTCTGGTTAAATGCTCTTTCGCGATGAACTGTAATAAGTCCGTAAGGTCTTCTTGGAGCTCCTTTAAATAAATAAAAAAATAAAAGAGTTATAATTTGTAGAGATGTTATTGTTTGTCAGCTATTTGTGGGTCATTATTATTTTTTAGGAGTAGATAGCTAATACTTTTAATAAATTTTTAAGAGTAGATAGCTAATATTTTTAATAAATTTTTAAGAGTAGATAGCTAATATTTTTAATAAATTTTTAAGATTAGATAGCTAATATTCTTAATAAATTTTTAAGAGTAGATAGCTCAGATAATAGTATTCTTAATAATTTATTGCTCAAAAAAGATAATTACATATGTTTAAAGAGTTTTTAGTTTGTTGTTTGTATTCATTAACAATTTCAATGAAAAATTATTATTATACTATTTTTACCTATAAACTTTAACTATAACTTGGCCTAACTTGAAAACTTTTTATTTTCTCGGACTACTAGGGAGCGCAACATGTTTGGGGAAGTTATAAAATCCTTATCGATTCGTGAAGCAGAGTATATGGATATTATTCTGAAGAAAAGACCTGATGTGTATAAAGAAGTGAATAATTTATTGATGAATGGAGACGATTCTATATCATTAAACGAAAAGTGACAATACAAGTAAAAGAAAATAATGGTACGTTGAAAAAACGACGCCACGAAATAATTTTTTATTATTACCTGTTTAAAATTTCTATTTTGATAATATTTTAAATAAAATTTAATTTCATATAATCTCTGAAATATGCTCCAAGCTACACACATTCTACGTATATTCTACACGTATTTTAACGTTGTACAATTTATATTTTTTATTCAAGATATGTTTTTGATTTATTTTTCTGGTCTTTGTTTTACATCACGTTTTGTTGAACTTTTAAAAGTTGTTATTCATTTTTATATTACTTATGCACAGTAGGCTAAATCTTGAAAAACCTGGTGTCACAATAGTTAATTTTTTGGTTTGCTAAATTTGAATTAAACACTAAAATTTCAAATTTAAAAAAAGTAGATTTAAAATGGCAAATTCTGTTTCGAAATAACTGGTTGAGTTATTTCGGCCGGGAAATTTCTTCATGGCGGCCCATTTTTTTCAAAAATTTTGCAAAGTTTCTTGAATCTAAACAAGATAAATCAGTATATAGACTACCATGCTCAGAGAATCTCTGTTTCAAACGACTGATTACTTGATCCATTATCATGTTGTAAACATTGACACGAAATTTATCTTTCGCACTTTCAAGTTGGTTGACTCTAAATTCTTTTCTCTTTCAATCCAGTCTGAACTTCAATGTCGAGGTTCCTTTTTCCTAGTTCACTATCAAGTTTTGATAAATTAGTAGCAGCTTAAAAAGTGGAGTCAAAATTTCTTTTTACTTTGCTTAAATGACTGATACTCTTTTGAACCATCTTAAATGTTCGTAGTATAACCATTCCAGTTGTTTATAAATATTTAGGTAATGGCGTTGTGTGCTTAAACACTTTCAAAAACAATTGTGCTGTCAAAATAAATTCAAAACTAGTTAAGGAATCTATAAGAGTTTTCGTTTTGTAACGGACATCATTATTGAATTTGATTGATGTAGAAATTGAAATGTTTGTAATATGTCAATGTATAAAAAATCAATAGTTTGTGTTTTTTGATTGGAGGTTTTTAAGAAGTCTCCGAATATCTTAGTAAGAGGTCTATCTTTCGCCCACCGACGGATTTTATTGATTACAGATATGTATTTCATTTTGCCAACTTTACGCCAAACATTGAAGTGTAAATATGATTCCCGTAAAAGTACTGCACATGTGTTCAAAAAACCAAATAAGTTAACAACTTCAATCCCTTTTTTAATCACGTCACTCATTACCAAATTTAAGATATGGGTGTAACACCATACATGAATCTGATCCGGGAAAACTGTATTTAACCAGGTATTGAACCCATTGTATTGACCCTGCATCCCAGTGGGCACGGACGTAAAAAAAAAAGTCTTTTAAACATCTTATACACGTTTTCGACAACTTTTGAACGTCTTTTGAACGTTTTGGACGTATTTTGAACGTTCAAAAGACGTCTTTTTTTGGTCCGGTGCCCACTGGGATATTGGAGGTTCTATCAATGGCATTGCAGATACATTTACTTATATCAATGTCTACCTAGTCAAAAATGCCACAAATCAAATCCTGCATTCCTTTTCCAGTTGTTGATGTGCAATTTGCTATCGATATTACACGTTCATATACAGCTTTTGTTACATATCAGATCACAATAGAACACTGATCCTGTACATTATTATCTTGTGTGGTATCAGTTTAAACACTAAACATACGGGCTTCTCTACTCCCTTCCACCATCATGCTTAGGAAAAATCTTATTATTCCATCAATGATTTTATCGGAAATTAAACTAACTAAAAGTATAACTTTTTTTTAATAGCACACAGCCCAACAGAAATCTCCCGGTATCCCGGTGGCCCAGCCCAAGCCTGCTAATAATGCTGGTAGCCAAAATCCATTATTAGCTGTATTTTGGCTACCAGCATTATTACCATACAATATGACAGTATGCGACCGTTAAACTAAATGATGAGGTATGATAGACGAGCTGGAGAAAGAACGAATAAGTTTTCTATATTTAATATTCATACTTTTTAACTGACGACCAATTATCCATTGATTTATACCGAATTTACAACCTATTTTTCTCTGACTGACCCCTTTTCGATTGTTGACAAGTCTCGTTAATTCGGCTTTCTTTTCTCTAGTCAAGGATTTGGACAAACAGGGTTCTTTCTATCAGAAAAGGATTGAACATTTTCAAGTCTTTTTAGGTTATCATATATTCTACTTTAGCAAATCCTTCCTTTTCAAAATGATTTACGATTTTTTTTTTTTTATTATTATTATTATTATATTAGATTTATTTTCAAAAAACATTTTGAGTCACTTTAGAAAAGATTCTCGTTCAGCTGAATATAACCTCATTTAAATAATTGTGTTTCAAATAATAAAGTTTATATTTTATAGAACGTTTATGCCTAGGTTCCAGACATAAAGTTAACTCCAAACATTTATATGTTTATACTTATGTCAAATAAGGATGCTTCGCAAAAAATTGCGATAATTGGAGGCTGGGAACAAAAAAGCCCCAAAATTTTTGTCCCCCTGCCCCAAACGTGAGAGCAACAAGTTGATGAAATATTTTTTGTACTTTTCTCAAGTTGAATTATATTCATCGATAAATTTTAAGTTTCATAGTATTGTCTCTCATCTTCAAAAATGATGACTATATAAAATTTGCAACCCCCTCAAATTTAGGGGGGGGGGGGGGTTTAAACTTTATATAGTCATAATTTTTGAACGCTAAAATATTTTACTATGAAATTTAAAATTTATCGATGAATATAAGTCTAGTTGAGAATAGCACAAAAAATGTTTTATTAACTGGTTGCTCTCACGTTTGGTGCAGGGGGACGAAAACTTTGGGGCTTTTTTGTTCCCAGCCTCCAATCATCGCAATTTTTTGCAAAGCATCCTTATTTGACATAAGTATAAACATATAAATGTTTGGAGTTTGCTCCATGTCTGGAAGTCTCAACGTCCAAAAAATGCTGGATCCCCCCCTGTCTACAGGTGTTAGGCTCACCACATTACATTGCATGTGTACAGAAAAAATTTATTAATATTTTATTGATAGCAATGCAAACTTATTTTTTATATTTTAATACGAAATTTAATGTCTCAGAATGATTAAAAAACGGCAAAAACCCAACAAATGTTGACAAAGATTGTAAACAAACATGTTTCATTTTGTGATATAAAAGTTTTTAGGCTCAAAAATTCAAATTTGTTAATAAAATTGTTTTTCATACGCAACTTTAACGCGTACAATGCGCGCATACACTTTTATGAGTGCGTTACCTTTGACTACACGCGTAAAAAAAATTTAAATTAAAATTTTAGAATATTCAAGCCAATAAGAAGTTTTTGTAAGTAAAATTTTTTTATTATTTTTAACTATAACTCGGTGTAGTTAAGGCGATTTACGAATTCGAATTAATTCGAATTAATTTGAATTTTTTTTACTTGGAATTAGCATGGTTTTATCAGCGTATATGTCCACTCAAGAGCTTTAAATGATATAATTTTTTTTGCTTCAGGTTTTTTTTAATATTTAAAGAAACTTTTATTTTTTTTATATAATTTTCAAAACCTCGTTACTACCCGTAATAGTGAATCTAAAGAACATTTTGGAGTCTTTAGATCAATTCCGCTCATCGGCGTTAACATGAATTTAGTTAAAATCTTTTGAAAAAGTTCTTTAATTTACTACTGATCCTAGTTCTAATCGGTTCTAACGTATATTTATTATAAATAGGTGTCAAAACTCAATATTTCAATTATTTCAATAAAAAAAGAAAGAGCTTATAATTAAGAAAAATTGTCAATAAACGATCAGACTAGATCATATTGTTAAACTATAATGCTCATTTCACCTAAAAAATGTATTTATTTAAAATAGATTAAAATTTCGACAAGCGATTGTAACTTTAAGAAAATTAAAAAAAAAAAAAAGAATCTTCGGTCTGGGTTTTTTCGCTATAAACATTAATACTAAATGATACCGCTAAATTTATTTTTTTGTCTTTTCATATTTCACAGACCTGATGATTTAACGGAAATATGTCGTAGTCAACTTAATATCATACAGACGTAATAATATTTTAAAATTGCCTTCACTACAGCGAGAAGTTGAAATTTCAAATGCGAATTTAACAAATTCTTTCGACTTTGCGCAGCTAGATTGTTTTATTTATTTGTTATTTATTTTTAGTTGACTCATATGGTTGTTACATTGAAAGCTTTATAATTGGGTAATTTAAGTCAACTGAAACTTATCCTTTAAAAATAAATATAGTTATAAATATAAATTGTAATATAACCGACAAATACATTAACAACAATAAAAAAAATATAAAGATTTCATTTTACTTTAGCTTCTTAATGTACCCGACATCTTTAATTAAAGTCATGCATAATTTGCCCGGACATTGCTTGGGAATCCAGTTTTTTATTTTAAGTTTAAATTGCTTTAAAGATGAAGATGCTTTATAATCATTTGGGATTAGCTTCCGAGTTTTTGATCACAGGTAAGATAGAGATTTCAATCCAAATTTTGTTGTACAAATATTGGTGGAGTTTGGCTTTTCATATCTCAGATTTGATTCGAGAAACTTAAATACTTCAATCATAGATATAGGCGCAATTTGCAATTTTATTTTGAAAATCTCAGTGACTAAACAATGCAGGTTTTTTTGGTGTATATATATTTTGATTAGTGTAAAAAGCAAAATATAGTTGGAAAAATTGTGAGATTATGCGGGATTTATCTTATTGTAAACTTATAAAAGAGAAGTTGATAAATAAAAAAACTCAAGTTTTACATGTCTTTAGTTATGGTTTAAACAAATAAAAATATTTTTTGTACAACCTCATAAAACTTTTCTTACTTAAGCTTTAGGGTAGAGCGGGGCAAATAAGGACACTCAAGAAACAAATGCTAGCTGTGGATAAACTAATCATAGTTAACACTGTTTTTTAAAAATTTTCTAAAGGTCATTGATTTAAGGAAACGAAAAAACAAAAACAAAATTTCCAAAAATAAGCTACAACAACAAAACACTAGACTAGCAAAAATTTTACACTTAGCAAGTGGGTTGGGCAAAACGGGACAGTTAAAAAGTAGCAGTTATTTGTTAATTTTAAGCTTTGAAAATGACAAAAAAAAGGTACTTTATCATTTAAACATGTTTAGACATTAGGTCCTCCAACAAATAAGACACCCA